TTGAGATGTCAAGCATTTTGTCAAAAGTATATTCATGCCATGTAAGACTGTAATAAACTATACTGATAAAAAACGGTTGTCTTTGTCCTCACTGAGCGATTTGTTCGGTAGGCCAGTTGTCATGTTGCCAGTATGAGAGAAACGGAAAAACCATTAAAATCAATGTCTAATTGGTTAGTCAGGCTAACTAATTTCTAACTGACGTTTTGACTTTTCTAACTTGATTCTCATATCTAGGAATGTTTTTAATTCAGGGTCTTCTACTTTTCAAGTTTATCCGTCCAGCAACCACAATGAAAGGCAAAGATGTTACCAGCGCTTGTAGCTGTCGTCTTTTACAGCCTCATTTAGGTCACTAGTTAACAGTCGATGCCAGCTTTTTATATGGCTTTCTTCCATGTCATAGCATATTGATTTAGACCTTTACTGTTCGACAAATATGCGTAAACGTATGCAAAGGAAATTAATACTTCTTTCGCTGAGCTCGAACAGAGTTCTTGAAATACAGAGTAATTGAAGTAAATGATCAGCTATTTAACTCCGTCCAGTCCTTATCCGACTACTTGAAGGTCTGTGCCCCATTAATGGCGATAGATCTATGCATTTAATGGAGCGCGTTGGTCTTCGTTGATGACATGTTCTTGTGTCTTATTCAGAACCTTTACAGAAAGTTTAAGCATAAACAAAATAATGAAAAGTTTGTAACCATTGGAATGTCTGTCTTCCTTGCATATTCATGATGGGACTTTTTCTGGCGCCATTCTGTTTACGACGATAACGGGAGGGGCACTGATCTACATTCGTATGTTATCAGCCAGCAGTGCCTTACTTTAAAGGCAGAGGCCGACAGCAGTTATGTGGTAGGCATAGTGTGTAATCTTCTGCTTCTTTTCCCTACAGTGCTACTCATTTATCAACCTAAGAAGGAAAGAAGGAAAATAAACCTACCGGGTGTCAAACCTTGGACCAACCCGAGTCTGATCCTGCACTGATGAGCAACCGCACTCTGAAACAACGCGCGGTAAATTCTTTGCTCAAGAGAATTTGTCGTTAATTGTTTCTCCGATGGAATTCAGCCCGACACCTTCGGAGCATGAAGCCGTCCTCTTGGACACTTTGTCACCACGCCAGAAAACTATTGTATATATTCGATTTAATTATATGCCGGTCGCAGATGATCTCGTCACCGATATTTACATCCATGTAAACCTCAAATGAATCTGTTACCAGATCGTTGGCATTCGCGGTGAGGTAAAACTGAAGACCAGTCTATCCAAAACTGAAGCTTTTGTACTATCGAGGCAGACAGCGCGGTGTGCATCGCAGCTTAATGAATGCCAGTCAATAGCCATCACATAGCCAAAGCTTAAAATCCCCTTCAAAGAACCAATTTTTAAATTTTCACAGGGTTACCATTCAGTTTTAATAAAAGATTTCTTCCCAGAGAGCATAAAACATGATACGAATAGCGCCACTAACCTTGGAAAATGGGTGCACACTGTGGCATCTCCTCACTTGGGTTTGCACTTTGCGGTAATTATCATGCTATAGTCAACTATTAGGTGGGTCGGTGCAAATCTCAGCCGTAGAGCGTATGCCTCAGACAGTGTGGCCATATGTCTCGCACGTTCTGGCATCACACCACCGCGTCATACCGTGCGCTTCATTTGCAGCTCAATGACACGCTAACTGTAAATCGGTTGGTTGTGGTTGCACTGGAGTACAGTTTGAGGCATTTTTGCTCAAGAAAAATTGCGGTTAGTAAGAGGAACTTTGATGCCGCGCATGGTCTTCGAACCTGGCGCTTTCGAAGTTCTGAACAAACCTCTTTCCCATTGCGCCACTGCCATGGGTATCTCAGAACGTTTTCTATACTATCTGCAGCAGTGAATAAAAGATCATTAAATAGGGACAAATAAAACTTTGGGAGGGGAGCGCTATAAATATAATTGGAAAGAGCGGCCTGCTTTCCAACATTCAGACATTCATTAAGATATCACCCAGAACCCCTACCAACCGTTATGATAAGGCCATGTTCCTTCTGGGAAAACTAGTATGATAATGCGTTTCGAAAACTACTACTCTTTTTATCGTTCCCTCAACAGCCGGATTTTGGAATAAAAGACTGCGTCTAGCAGCTTTTCTGGCGGCCAAAGAATTTGCTAGTGATAGTTCTCCTTTTCCTGCCATTTTACCCATAGTGGTAGACTAGCGGTTTGCTACTAGTAAGATAGAAACCAGAGGCAAGCATGTAAACCAGTTATTGTGCTTGAAAGTTTTAAATTCATTATCGTAGTGATAATTATTGTGTTTACGTTTAAAACTTCTTCTTTTCCATCATTTTTTTCGTTGTTAGTTCATGCAGTGCATCATTTTATGAAAGTCGA